AGATAGGCCGAGGAGGATTATAAAGCCACCGATGAGATATGAAGGGGTAACTTGATAGCTTTTGCTCTTAATACAACAGAAATGGGTTGAAGAACAAGAACCCTGAAGTTTTCTTGAAGCAATTTCTACTCCAAATGCTGAAAATTGGAAGAGAGCAATGAAAGAAGAAATGCAAATCATTGGAAAAGAATAAAACATGGATCTTAGTCCCTAAACCTAAGAAGCAAAAGCCAGTGGATTGTAAGTGGATCTTTAAGATCAAGGAGGGAACTACACCTAAAGAACCTAAAAGATTCAAAGCGACACTGGTTGCTAAAGGTTTTACACAAGCAGAAGGAGTTGATTACACATAAATATTCTCCTGATGGACGTTAAGATTGCCTTCCTCCATGGAGACTTGAAGGAAACTATTTACATGAAGCAGTCACCGGGTTTTGAAGAGAAAGACAAGGAAAATCATGTATGCTTACTGAAAAAATCCCTATATGATCTTAAACAATCTCCATGGCAATGGTATAAAAGGTTTGATCACTATGGGCTTGTTCTTTTGGAGTTTAACTTGAGTATAATTCTTGAGTTGAATTTGAGTTATAACTTGAGTTGAACTTGTAACTTGAGTTTGTGTTTGGTTGTATACATTTGAGTTATGGTTTGAGATAAGAATCTTTTTGAGTTTGTGTTTGAGTGAGTCAAAACTTAAATTTGTATTTAGATAGTATTTTAATAAAAACTCAATGCTAATGAAAAATTTTAATAGGGTATATGGGTCGGGTTTTATTCGTCTTTTCGTTGTCAACGCATAGAAAAAAAATCATCTCAATCAGAATTAAAACGAAAAAGTTATAGCATTTTTAAGAATAGAAAAAATACTGTTCATTAATTTGAGTTCGAGTTGAAGGGGAAACTTGAACTCGAGTTTTAGTCCTAAACTCGAGTTTAAACTCGAGTTTAAACTTAAAAGAACATGAACTTGAATAAAGTTGTAACTCGAGTTGCATTTTTTTGAGTTTTTCACTCAAAAGAACAAGCCCTATGTTACTCAAATTGGTTTTATTAGAAGCCATTATGATTCTTGTCTATACTATAAAGATTTAAGTACTAAATCTGTTGTATACCTTTTATTGTATGTTAATGATATGCTCATTACCATCCCTGATATGACTATCATTAACAAGGTTAAGAAGCTATTATGATCTGAATTTGATATGAAGGATCTAGGGAATGCAAATAGAATTTTGGGTATAAACATAAAAAGAGATAGAAAACAGAAAAAGTTATGTTTATCTCAGGAAGAATATTTAAAGAAGGTTGTTAGGAAGTTTTCTATGGAACATTCTAAAAGTGTCAAGGTACCACTTGCAGGTCATTTTAAACTCTATGTAGATCAGTCACCTTCTACTCAAGAAGAGAAAATTAAAATGACCAAAATTCCTTATGCTAGTGTTGTAGGTTCATTAATGTGTTCTATGATATGCACTAGACCTAATTTAGCATATGTTGTTAGTGTTTTAAGTAAATATATGGCTAATCCAAGTCTTGATCATTGGTTAGCCATGAAATGGGTGTTGAAATATGTAAATTCTACTATTAACTACGGTTTAATTTACAAGTATAGATCTAAGCACTTGGTCTTGGAAGGTTTTGTGGACTCTGATTTTGCAGGTGACAATGATAGAAGACGATCAACCTCAGCTTATATGATGACTCTTGATGGAAATTGTATAAGCTACAAATCACAACTTCAGCCAGTTGTTGCCATGTCAAGCACAGAAGCTGAGTACATTGTGGGTACTGAAGTCTTCAAAGAAGCAATTTGGATTCAAGGAGTAATGACAGAATTAAAAGGCTTAAAAGGGTCTACGACCATTTATTTTGACAGTCAATCAGCTATCCATCTCTGTAAAAATCCAGCTTATCATGAGAAGACCAAACATATAGATGTAAGGCATCACTTCATCAGAGAAAAGGTGGAAGAAGACATAATCAGGCTTGAGAAGATTGGCATCAAAGACAATCCTTCTGATATGGCTACTAAGGTGATTAATGCTGGCAAGTTCCAGAAATGTCTGGACTTGCTAAGCATTGGAAAGACTTGAGTGCCAAGTCTGAGCAAGGACACCCACAGGGAAGCCACTAATATTTTTCAAATGTCGTTTACTGAGATTAAGGTAGAATTTTGTAAGAATAATCTCATAAAATGACACTCAAAAAGAAAGTGTTCTACATCTCACAGACGTGTGTTGTTTGTTGGAGAAAAGAGTATTAAACCGCCTTAAGGAAATTAGGCATGCCAAAGTTCGACACGTATAATATAAGCTTTTAGCAATATTAGTTGATATATGTATATCCCTTTGGCCTTAGATCGAGAGTCTTCCAAATCATCTTCTGTATTCTAGAGACATATTTGTAGAGAGAGAAACTCCTGGTTTTGTGGTGAGAGAGAAATCTAGAGCATTTGGGAACGAGAGAATCTGAGGAAACTCAAGTTTGTTCTCCACTGGGTATTCTTCTTGTTTGGGATTGGCTTATTTTTTCTCTGAGTGTGGGTTATCTCTGTGTTTGGGAAATCTCTGTAATTGTGAGGATTGGGGGTGTAATCACTTTCTTTGATTTAGTGGAAAGAGCTTGCCTGCGGACGAGCTCAACGGGGACGTAGGGAGAGATCCTGAACCTCGGTGAAACAAATATCTGTGCATTTGATTTCTGCTGTGTTCATTGATTTCGTGGGTCTGAATTGGAATCGCTCCAACAATTACCAATCCTATCAACAAAAAGATTATTTAGCTGGTTAAGATTTTCTATCCTATTTCTGTTGGAATTGTTGTGCAATTCCATCCTTTTCTCCTGTGCTCCAAAGACAGCACCATAATACAAAACTTTTACCACAAAAAAAAAAAAAAATGTAGCACGGTCAAAAAAAAAAGTCAGAATACTTATACTTCTTTATTCTTTGGTCTTAATTATTTAGTTTATTTAATCAACATACTGCGACTATAAATATTCGATATTGTTTGTATAAGCACTATCAGAGTAACAACTAGCGAGTTTGGTATCTTTATTGCGGCATGTTTCAAGTCTAAGCTTCATAGGTTCGAAACCTTGGAGCTTGCCATATGCAGGTAATACACCAGACTACGGTTGGTAACATGGTGAACTACCCGAAACACGTGGTTTGCATGTGCTAGCGCGAAGTCGCCTGGATCTGCCAACTACTTGTGCCAAGATTTCTCGACGAGACTTTCTTTCAAATTTATATATTTTTTTAGTTCTCTGATAGGAAATTGTAGCTAACACTAGAAGCTCATATTGGTAATACAATAGACTACAGTCGGTAACACAGTAAAATACCGCAGATAACAGGCTAGATTACCATTGACAACACTGAATACCTTCAGTAACATGTTGGACTGCGTTCAGTAACATGTCAGATTACTGTTAGTAACAGAGTTGGCTACCATCAGTGTGGATGTGAGAAGGTTGGGTTACTGTCGATAAGCTGTAATTGTACTCATGTACAGAGTTAGACCATCTCTCATGCAATTAATGCTAATGCTAATTGTATAATTAGCATCAAAAATTGTTATTCCAATGCATAATACTATTTGAAATACTAAATTTACTTTTTCATGTAATTATTAAGATTTGGAAGTTGCAAAAGTAAAAGTTGTATTGAGTTGACTACATGGAAAAGGTAACACATTTCAACCAATAATGATCAAATGCAAAATTTCTCATATGTTATATTTGGTGAGAAATTTGCCACAAAGTATAGCATATAAGAAATTTAACACAACAAATAACATTGTATTGGAGAGTATTTTTTACACTAAAATCTTAAATTTGTAATTGGTACATTAATTATAGCATTACATTGAAGATGCTCCTAGCTACTGCTATTATGGCTTGAGTTTGTGTTTTGGCCATTGAATCGAAGCCAATATTTTTTCACCATTCATCATCTAATCCAATCATATATATCCTTTAAAATCCAATACAATAATTTTTTGTTTTTGACTTTTTGAATTCTAAATTTCCTTTCCATTTCTTTAAAGAACATTTACGTATTTTTTTGTTATCACAATCGACTTGTGAAGAAAAAAAGATAAGGATTTAGCATAAATATAAAATTTGAATATTTAAATTTGCAACGCTTCAAAATATAATGTATGACCTTTATAATAATTGGTACAAAATGTAAAAACCCTTTTTGAAATTCATTTATATTTTTTTTTAAGAACATTTTGGTCTTTTGCCGTCAAACTCGACCCTTGATTGAGAAAAGACAAAGGTTGAGCATGCAATTAGAAGGTATAAGTGTAGAACAGTTAAAAGACGTATAATTTGTTGGATAACGTAAGAATACGTGCATGGTATAAAAAATGTAAAAACCCCTTATGACATGTGTTCTTATTTTCTCATAATACTACAATCAAGGTTTGAGGTATCGCATTTCCACAATAATTTACATGAAAATTTCCATATTTTAGAACCATAGATAAGGGATGCTCTTTTTCGCGGAATGTTGTGAAATTGATTTATCATCAAAGTCATGATTTTGGTGGAAAAATGCAATGTTATATGACAAAATATTATAAAAATATCAGGTAAAAATACGGTGCAATGTAGTGGCTATAGACCTATAAATGTAAGGTATCTAAATTAGATTAAATTCTACTAATAAATTTTTTTAAAGAACTTAATTCGTAAATATATATTTATAATCATTACTTACTATGAATATTAAATATTAAAAAATTTCTAAAAATACCATTAAAAAAATAACATTTCTTTTACAATTTTAAATTTATCATTTATGCCATTAATATTACGATAGATATCTTTCGTATTCTACTGGGATACATGTCTTCCAACTCAACTGAACACTTTAGTTGGCAACTGACGATATGACGTCATGAAAACGACATGACGTTTTACAACTGAACTGAACAGTTAACTAGTTCACTCCCCCATCAGAAAACGACATGAAAATCCAACCTTAGCATAGCATAGCAGCCGCAGACCAACAATGGCGATTCGAGCCCTGACTGAAAACCATCCTCCTCTTCCGACCCCCAAAGACCTCCTCACCTACCGATAACTCCCCGACTCCGATCTCCACCGTCGTCGCCGACCTCACCACTACCACATCTATCGATCTCTCTCCTCGGTGAAGTCTTCACCGCACCAACCCACCTTGCCGCCGCCGCACCGAGCTCTCGGGCTCGCAGCAAAACCTTATCGCAATATCTCTGGACTCTGGTAAACCTCCCTCTCTATTTCTTTCTTTCTTTCATTTATTTTTCTCTCTCTCGTTTTGCTGAACTTAGTGCATTTTTGTAATGGTTGTGGAGGAAATACTAACAATATTGATATTATGATATGCTAAGTTTTTGGCATCAGGTGTTTGCTGAAATTCCTGGGAAAATGTTTTTCATTCTAATGCAGATTTCGTTGGTTTTGCTTATTAAAAGTGATTGCTAACTTTGTGCTTATTATAAGTAACTGTTTTCTGTGACAGTGCGATTAGAATAATCTTTTCAATCAATTAGGATAACGTTTTGACAGTGTGATTTTTGGACTCTTGCTCATCTGAGAATTTGGGTTCTTGCATAACTTATTTATGGGCTTGTCTGCACATTTTATTTTTAATTTTCTTAAATGGTCCATCTAAGTTCGCGTAAAGTGGTTCTTTTGATTCCTTGAGAAAAGATAAAATGCTTAATTAGTAAGTCTAACTAGTAGCTACAAAGACATATGTTTGTGGTTGTTTGTTTTTTCTTACTTTAATTCCAAATATTGAATATTCCTCCTGTACCAAGGAACTTGGTTTTTTGACACAGAAAATTCTGGAGATAGCTCCACTGATGTTTTTATGCAAGTATAATGGATTGCACCAAACGAAGAAGTTTTAATGAAAGTCAACTTGTATTTTGTGTTACCTTTTAGTTGATTGTGTGTTACATTCTGGGTGTTACAGGTCCTCAACAGATTTCCAAAAACATTTCTAAATCCTTGGCTAACTAGTTTTTAACCTCACTAGTTAACAGTTCACTTCCCATCAGAAAAAACGACCAAAAAATCCAAGCTTTAGTAGCAGAACAACAATGGCGATTCGAGCCTTGAAAACCATCCTCTTCCCAACCCCAATGCAAAAACCTTCTTTTCTTCATCTCTCCAACTTCTCGACCTACTCAACGCCTGATAACCCCCAGTCTATGATCTCCACCGTCGTCGCCGTCCTCACTCACCAGCGCTCCAAATCCCGCTGGGCCCACCTCCGCTCTCTCCGCCCCAATGGCTTCGCCCCTTCAGAGTTTTCCCAAATCGCCCTCCACCTCAAAAACAATCCCCATCTTGCCCTTCGCTTCTTCCTCTGGACCCACCGGAACTCCCTCTGTGACCATAATCTCTCCTCCTACTCAACCCTAATTCACATCCTCGCTCGCGGACGCCTCAAGCGCCAAGCCCTAATTGTCCTTCGTGACGCAATTAGGGTTTCCAGGTTGGAAAATGGTGAGCTCGAATCGAAGCCGCTGAAGGTTTTCGAAACCCTAGTCAAGACCTACAGGCAATGCGGATCGGCGCCGTTCGTGTTTGATTTGTTAATCGAAGCTTGTCTCGATTTGAAGAAGATAGATTCTTCGATTGAGATCGTGAGAATGTTGATTTCTCGCAGAATTAGCCCTAGATTCAGCACCTGCTGTTCTTTAATACAACAGGTTTCGCAACGTCATGGACCTAATGAAGGATACAAGATGTATAAAGAGATTTTTGGGTCGAATTGTGGAGCTGTTGAGCCAAGTGTGGAGATTTTCAATACTTTAATGGTGGCTTTTTATCAAGATGGTATTTTTGAGAAAGTGAAGGAGATTTGGGAACAAATGTTGGGATTGAATTGTGATCCTAATTGTTATAGCTATAGCATTTTGATGGCAGTTTATTGCGATGAAGGGAAAATGGATGAGGCAGAGAATTTGTGGGAGGAAATGAGGGCAAAGAACGTGGAATTTGATGTTGTGGCTTACAACACTATAATTGGTGGGTTTTGTGGGATTGGAGAGGTTGAAAAAGCTGAAGAATTTTTTAGAGAAATGGGGTTGAGTGGGCTAGACGGTAGTGCCACCACATATGAACATTTTGTCAAAGGGTATTGCAAAGTGGGAAATGTTGATTCTGCTTTGCTTGTGTTTAAGGATATGTTGAGGACAGGCTTTAGGCCTGAGGGTTTGACAATGGAGCGGCTGATTAGAGGGCTTTGTGAAAAGAGTAGGGGTTTAGAAGCTTGGGAGATTTTGAGAGTTGCAAAGGGGCGGTTCGGGTTTTGTCTGATGAGGAAGAGTCTTGAGTTTTTGGTAATGGGGTTGTGCCAGGAGGGGAAGATGGGAGAGGCTCTCAAACTTCAGAGGCAGATGGTTTCGGAAGGGTTTGAACCGAATTGTGAGATTTATGATGCTTTTATTTCTGGGTATATGGAGCAAGGGAATGTGGAAATGGCAGAGAAGTTGAGGATGGAAATGTTGGAAATTGGGGTGTGAGGATATGAGGGTTAGGTGATTTTGATCATATGATGTGGCTTGAGAATTGCAATTCAAGTGTATATCACTAGACCATCTTTTGCAAACGACCAAAAATAAGGTCACCAGAGAATTGTATGTAAATAAAATTATTTTGTTAATGTACGTATGATGTGTGTGCCAAGTTGATTAAATTTTGGTATCAAATATAGACTTTGCTGACCAATAATGTCGAGGTAATTCCTTAAAAAATTGCTTCTCTCCGTACTAAGAGCATCTCCAAGAGAACTCTATAAATTTTAGTTAAATTCTATCTAAAATGTCTAGAAAGTTATTTTAACTAACAACTTTTTAGTGAGTCACTCCAACCATAGTCAATTACAAAAAATTTTTGTTTTAAGGATTAATATGCCAAACACGTAAAATTTTGGAGATCTCGTGCAAAAAGCCTAGAATTTATACTTTTTTTTTAAAGTTATCTTCTCATAACTTGTAAATTATCTTTCGTAATCTGTAGATTATTTCTGCAGATTATTTTTTGTAACCTGCAGATTATCTTTTTATAATTTACAAGTTATTTTTCATAGCGGTATTAAAATTTTATGTATTGTAATATAAATAATAGAGTTAGAAAAAACTTTGAAATTTTATCTTAATTTTAATTCCTCTCAAGTCACAATTCTATGCCTATTTTCCTCCTCCTCCCTTGTCTCTTACACGTTTGGGTTGAAATTGGTGGGCCTAATTTAAGCAAAGCCAGTTTGGCCCAATACTGCCTAATATGATGACTTTCGTTTCCCACCATTGTTAACAACAGACGAACTCGTGCAACTTTTAGGGTTTTTCTCTCTCTCTCCTCGCAATCTTCTATTCCAGGAACGAGAGATACCGAGGATTGAGGGATGTACTCCCCTCTTTCTTCTATTCGCCATGCTCGTCGATCTTTGTCTCTAATCTCTTTCCTCGCTCGCGATCATGGCGATCTCACTGCTGCTTCGAGGTCTTTCTCTGCTTTTCCGGCGACATATGGTAACTATTCTGTATTCTGTAAACAAGTTCGTTTTTTGGTTTACTTACGAAGCGTCGACGAGTTTTTGCTCTCAATTGAAGTTTCCGAGTTTGAATATGAATTTTATTTCGAGATTCAGTTGAATTTGTTAGTTGATTTGTAGAGGAACTACGAATTGTACTAATAAATGGATTTTCTACAAATTGTACTAATAAAATGGATTTTCTATGAATTGTACTAATAAAATGGTTTTTTTTTTTCATTTTCTGTTTTTGTTCTAGTATTATTTGATGAGATTAGGGTTTCTACTTCCTTGCCCTACTTATTATACCGGATAACAATAGCTTCTTCCGAGTTGGATTGATTGTTTATGGATAATTGGATTATTAGAATAATCTTTTCAAACAATTAGGATAATGTTTTGACAGTGTGATTGTTGGACTCTAGGTCTGTCCGAGAATTTGGGTTTTTGCACAACTTGTTTTTGGACTTGTCTGCGCATTTTTTATTTTCTTAAATTGGTCATCTAAGTTAGCATTCCTTACTTTTATCCCAAATTTCAATATTCCTCCTGTAACAAGAAATCTGGTCTTTGGCACAGAAAATTCTGGAGATAACTTCAATGATATTTTTGTGCAAGTGTAATGGATTTAGCTTAATGGATTAGATCAAACGAAGAAGTTTTAATGCAGGTCAACTGTATTTGCGTTACCTTTTAGTTGATTGTGTATGTTACATTCTGGGTGTTACAGGTCCTCAACAGATTTCACAAGACGGTTCTAAATCTTTGGCTAACATTGTTAGGAGAAATATTTCACACCATGTTGGGGGACTTTCTGCAAGAAGCTTAGCATTAAGTTCCGGTATTATGCTTTTCAGGGGGAACGCCACTGCTCCATATGCTTTGCGTTTCCTTTCATCCATAGGTTCTAATGCTCAGAATGATTTTCTGAGCGGCTTAAGGAATCCCATGAATTTCGTAAGGGATATTATTGAGGTAGAGGATAGGAACACCACAGGACATCCTGGTTATACCACTGGGAAAAGTGCTGATTTTGTCCACATAAAGCTGATGCGTAACAATAGTTTTGTTACTGTGACGGATTCAAAGGGGAACAAAAAGTTTGGGGCTTCGTTGGGATCAGTTCCGGGATTGAAAGGATGAAAAATGACTCGATATTCTGGTGAAGCTGTTGCAGAACATGTTGGAAGAATGTCTAGAAATCTGGGGTTAAAGTCAGTAGTGGTGAAGGTTAAAGGGTTTACGTTCTTTAAAAAGAAGAAGCAGGCAATCTTAAGCTGGAGAGAGGGCTATACCAATTCTCGGACGGATCAGAATCCAATTGTATACATTGAAGATACAACCCGAAAACCCCATAATGGCTGCAGACTCCCAAAAAGACGTTGTTCTTAGTAGAGCTGGATGGTAACTCATATGTGTTCCTGTAGAGTACAAGCTTTGTGGTGATATAAATTTGTGCTAAAGGACTACTTTGATTGATTTACATTGTAAGGTTACATTTAGTGCTAGTCATTTTGACGGATACCTCAGGCTGTTTGGACTCGCTTGATTTTTAATTAATTCATGCAGTGGATGGGAAAATGATTTATTTCAATGTTCTCTGGTGTTTTAGCTCGAGTTTGTTTGTGAAATCCTGGCGGTTTATAATTTGTGCCTTCTGGAATTGGATTGTAATATTTATAGCTTTTATGGCTTTAATTGGGATCCATTTTTCATTTGGTTCACTTTCGCTGCAAATTTTAGCTGGAAATTTAGATAGGGTTACGAAATATTTTTTTTGCTTTGATTTGTCTCTTATAAGCTTTTGAATTTGTGTGTAATAATGTGCACACAATGGAAAAAATGTGAGGTTTCTTTGGCAGTCTCATCAGTTTGCTCGAAATTTCCCCAGTCTTCTTGTTATTCTTTGCATTGTTGCATGTGTTTGTAGAATAGAATTAACGCAGAGGAAGAAAAGATGGATACTTTTGATTAACGTTGAGACAACAATTTATCGATGTTTTATATGATAACTAATGTGTGTTCTTAGGTTTAGTCTAACAGAAATTTCAAATCTATTACCAATATTGTCTATATATTAAATTTACTCATCTTTTAAATTTTTTTTTTTTTTTTTAGGAAAAAAGTACGCATGAGGTATCTTGTCATGCTCATGAGTGATTACACACATATTTCTCTTTCTTTCATTAGAATAGAAATTTAATAGATATTTTTGCTAATTATAGCAAGCAACGATCAATCTAAATTTAGCTACCGATTTACTTGATGATGATTATTTGTTCAAGTGAACAACCAAAGCGTAAGGATTGCGACGTTGAAAAAGTAGAGACATATACTTAGGCATAGAAGATGCATTTTGTTATATATAGAACGCGCATTCAACTGGCCTATTAACTCGGTCGCAGGTTGGAGACTTGCATGGGCCAAATTCTATTGATTTTTGTTGTATGATCTACACATATAGCAAATATTTGATTTAAATATTTTTATGTCATTAAAATAATAAATAGTTCAAGATACAATATTTTTATGATAATTATTGTCATTTTTGCTATATTTATAATATTTGAAAAATTTTGTTAAATTAGTGTAATTACTTCATTTGTGTTTCAGGAAAAGTGTAAGCTGGGTGTTCCTAGCCAATATGCCCACAGCCCATATCCTATCATCTTCACCATATCCTATTTCATCGTCGGTATCATTCACCAAAATCTGTCCATTCTTTTAACAATAAATACTGTGAGTCGCTTACCCTCCAAAAAGAAGAAGAATCTGCTTAATCACCAGTAATTCTTTCTCGTCAGTGTTGTTTACTCCCCATCTGAGTCACACAATGCTTTATTTATGGATAGGCATTGTCTTATAGCTTACTTGGGAGATAACACATTGAAACAATCACAATCACAACGCGCAAGTAATGATATATTAAAAGCGTCTGAAATAAGGCAGAAAAGGCCGTTTGTTCTCTCCCCTTTTTTTCCCCTTTAAAATAAGGGATAATTAGTGTTCTCACGCCCTCGCCCAACGTTTAGAAATAATCAACTGGACCCACCAGTGTAGCACCCACTTTTAAGTTGAAAATAAATGCGGAAAAAATAAAATAAAAATTCTATCCTCGCATTTAAAGTCAATTCAATTGTCTTGGTGACATGAGCACCAAAGCAAAAGGTTATATTTAATGAAACATTACTCCTCTACCAGGTCGTCACAAGCTGACACTGAAACATTTTTGGTCTCCAAATGCTACAAAGCAAAAGGAAGATGACTTTCATGAGTGACAATGTTAACATTGTGATATTCAGGACTAGAAGTAAAACTAGAGAAAAAAATAATAATAATTCATAGAATTCTCCCATGCAAAGCCATCCCTCCCTCCCTCTCTCTCCTTCCAGACGCACTGCACCACCGAAAAGAGAGAAATATGAAAAGTCATTCATTGCTGATTAACACAAACGCCAAACTTCTACTACAAGATAGTGAGGCAAACCAAAAGGCAAATTATCATAATGACGCAAATGTTGTGCAGCCTTAGGAAGCCATGATCCCGCCCGAGTCATGGTTGATAGCATGCACTACCTAAATAGTCCAATAATGTAGCCAAACAAGTTCAACACATAACTGGTTCAGTTTGAACTTTATAATGGTATTGCGTATCTTGAAAAAGGAAACTAACCATAACTAGCTTTAGTGTTCGTTCATTAACTGCAACGTCAAGAAAATACAAAGCTCCTACCAATTTAGGCCGGTTTAACTGGCTTGATAAGTTCAAACCATCAGTTATAACTGACAATTGAAGGATAGTGAAATACTGTGCAATTAAAGTCATCTAAGAGATTATCACAAAATAGTTGGGGCATGTGGCATGCGCTACTGTCCTTTCTCCAGAAAAGAAAAGTTTCTTTTAATTGATATTTTGGCACCACTTAGGTATATTAAAGCTATTGTATTTACAGTTAAGTCCTTTTCATCACTATCAAACGTGCTATCTTTTGCCTATCATTGACCCTCCTATTCCTCCACAATTTGAATTAATCCCGCCTGCCTTATAGGTGGATCATTACTTCATAAGAAGCTTGTGCCTTGCTACTATTTCAGGACCCATATACAGTCATTGTTCACTATTTTTCTCTCTATAATTATGGACTTCTTGTACGTTCTAATAGTAACTACCACAATGACAATACATACATTTAAGCCAACTTGATCGATTCAAGACAAAATTGTGGATAGCCAACAGATTTAAGGTCATAATCTGAAATATCAGAACCCACCCCAAGGTGTTGAGCAACAAAATATTCACATCCCTAATGGCAGGATAAATCATTCCCTAATACGATTTTACAAGAAAACAGCCATATTGATGCGGGTTCACGTATCCTTAAAAGTGACCTTGAAACTGCATCCATTAGAATCCCTCAATGATGTTACATTTCTTGCCAAGCCTGTAACCCTCATTTCCAAATATCGCCAATCTGTTACATTTTATCTTTTCTTTTCCGACGATCTACTTTGCAGGCTCAGGCATGAAGCTAGACCTCTTACACTATCTTAAGCATGAAACTGTAGCCACCAAGTGAGTACTACAACAACAATTATGACATCTATTACCAAAAACCATATGCCATTAAAAGGTTTCAGTACATCATTCTCATTCCTGTCAAACTCAATCACCATCAAACTTACAAGGAAAATGAGGTGGTCATGCCTAAGAGCCATACTACTAGACATTGCCATAATAACTCCCCAGTGGGGAGGGTAGAGAGCTGCCATTACTCCACTATTCCCACCTCTTGATTAACTGACCCATTAAAAGAAAAAGGACCCACAAAAATGTGTTTAAAAAAAAAATTAACCAAGCATTCACATGACTCCAACTATTTTGAATTTACTAATTCATTCTGATAGCTCTAAAAGCTTATGGACTTTTACTCATTAACCACAAGCCACTCAGCAAATAAATCATTGGTATATATACATGCCAAAACCGAAATCCTACAGAAAGAGGCAACACAGAACATGATTTTTGTTTTAAGCTTGAAATACAAGCATGGATTGTACAGAAATTTGCAGCGTAAGCCAACCCAACATGAAACAAGAGGATATCATGATTTAACAACGCACATAATCAAATCTCTACTAAATAACTTCTGTCCAAACAATCATATATGATCAACAAAATTCTTATCATTTACCATAAATTCGGAACACCCACATCCTAGGGAAATGTTAGCAACATGGACCGAGATTGATTCTACTGATAGGGGAAAAAAACCTTGAATTCAAACTTCACTCATTTCCAGAACAAATAGGAATTTCAACTAAAAGAATTTTTTCAATTAAACCTAAGTAAGCAATTTCTAATCATCAACCGTAAAACCGAAAACACCCATTTCCCAGAAAACAAGAATAATCAAAACCCAGAACAGTCTACGCATAGATATATATATATATATATATCCAAAAACCAAAGAGAGAAATTAAGACTACTACACAAGGTCGGATAATTACCACATAAGCAAGAGATTTGGGGGGTCTAAAGTTCGAGCTTGAGCTCATCGGATTCACGAGAGATGTAGTGGAGAATGTAAGGGGTGACTCGGATCACGGCGACCCAAGCTCCGAACATGGCGACGTGGGTCCGCAGCTGCTTCAAAGCCGCTGCCTTGTCGGGCTTCCTCATGAACATTCCAGGAAACATCTTTTTCGATTTTGCTCTCTTCTCTTTGATCTCTTCCAAAAACTGAGGAAAATGAAAAATCTTAGGTGAGTGAAATTCTCTGTGCTGCTTTTGTAGTTGTCGTTCTGGGAGATCGGGGGTCTAGGGTTTTAGAGCTTTGAGACAAAAGGAGGGATTTGGGTCACTCGTGTCGCTAGGGTTTCGCTGACCACACGGATGTATTTTTACCCCTTTTATTTTCATGTTTATATCTCAATTTTTTTTTATTACGGACTCTTTAAGCATATAAATTTTTAGACATTCTTTTTTTTCACAATTAAGTCACAACTCAAATTTTATTATTATAATATTTTTTTATAAAAATTTTAATTTAATATTTTTATTATAATATTTTTCTCTAACATACACAACTTAAATTTTTAATTTAAATTGTGAAACAAATATAGCCTTAAGTTTAATATATAATTACTCTCAAAATTTTGTTTTTATTTACATTCAAAAAAGAATTTGTTTTTGTTTCTGTTATTATTTTTTTATTTTTTTATTTTATTAAGTTTTAGTTCCTAATACTAAAATTAACATAAATTTTATAATTCAACAAAAGTAATTATGAACCAAAATATTACTATCCTCAAAATTTAAGGAATAATAGTGTAATAATTATTACTATTAATTTTTTTTTTTTTTGCAACTTTACAATTTATCTTTGTTTTCTAAAACTGAAATAATATCTTTTTTATTTTTTTCCAAAAATATATTTTTTATAAGGTTTTAGAAATCAAAATAATAGTTTTATTGAAATAAATAAAAGAGACAATAAGAATAACATCAAGCGAAGGTCAATGATATTATCTATATCTACTTCTATAAAAGATATACACATTTACTAAACAATAAAGGAACATAATGGGATTGAAAAATAAAGTAAATTAATGAGAGTATGGATTATTAATTCTATTTCTAGAGTTTATCTGTTTATTAGATGATATAATGAACAAAAAAAAACAATCTAATTCTCTTTATATTGAAACGCCGTATGGGATCCATCTTTATCAACGTTTTGTGTGTATTCCCGTTTCTTTCTCTCAATTATTCCCGTTTCTTTTTGTTGAGCTGGTGACGTGGCACCAAGCATGTTTTGTGTGTATTTTTTACTTTTCAAAAAAAGTTATGCACGTGTTCTAATGATTTTTAGTTTTTTTTTTTTAACGTACTCGATCACAGTGTGTTTCTCATATTCTATTGTTCTCTTTGGTGGTTATGCTTTCTCTAGCTACTAGTTATTGTGCAAGTCGTCTCATCATTGGAGACTTGATAATGATGCTTGATTTTTTTACCACAATTTAGTGTTATCTTTGACTTGTTTTCTAGTGTTAGGTTGTGTTTCCTGTTCGCTAATTTTGTTTCTCAGTGTTTGTTTTGCCTATCTTTAGTGCTACAAGTCTCTTGATCTCAATTGACTGATTTATTTCATTGATTGTAAAAGTGTTGATAAAGAGTCATGTAAGTGCACATAGCGAGAGAGTGCACGTGTAAGTATTTAACTCGTTGGTGGCAGGTCCAACGCGGTCAAAGTACTTAACAGGCCTTCAAAGTAGACAACGATGGTAGGACCTCTAATGGTGGTGTGGTTTGCTTAAGCCCAAATTAGGCAAAAGAACAAGTGTTCTAAAGCCCTATTTGTTGCCAAAATTATGAAAATACTCTTGTAAAAAATGTTAAAAAATCTGAAAAATAATAATGAAGAACTTCGCAAATGAAGAATGGTGAGAGGAATGATCACGTAGTTGATGGAGAATGGCTCCAAAAGTAGTTTTTAAGCTGCCTTAGAAGCTTTGAGTGTGTAGCTTTGCTAGTGGATAAGGCACTGATGGAGAAACGAGTGATACGGAGGAGTCTGATGCAGGTTGTTCCAAGAGTGTGGAGATCGTTTAGAGCACTTCCTCTGACGGTAAACGAGAGTGACTCTAAGGTTGGAGGCTTGAATACTTTTGGGAAAGTATGAAGATAAGTCGCATAACACTCTATGCTGGTGTTAGAAGAGAATTAAAAAGTGTTCTTGAGGAGTTTGTAAGGAGGTCAACACTTAGAAGACTCCAAGTCTTGTAGCAAGACTTGAAGAAAGCACTCAAAGGGAGAGTTTCAGTACTCTGATGAGTTTTCTTATGTGCAGATGTGTTGGTGCTGAAATGAAGAAGGTGAGAGGGTATTTATAGGAGTAAATGGAAGTGTTTGACAGCTGCTCTAACGGATGGCTGAACACTCTTTTCCATTTGTAGGAAGGCTATCATGGGCCTTTCTTAGTTTGACAAAGAGATGGTCCGGAAATGGAATGGAAGGTTCTGGAAGGGAAGAAACGGTGGCGGGCTGTCGGAGCATTCCCATTCGAAGGAAAGGTGTCAGATAGCTTTCTAAGTTTGACAAAGAGACTCACCAAAAATGGGATGAAAAGTTTTTGGAAACTTACTTCGGCGGCGTTCTGATGAAGTAAGGCACAAGTCGTTCCGTTTGGAGCAAAATCTTAGCTACCTTGTCGGAGAAGGAAAAATAACACCTTAGAAGTGGAAATACTTGAAAGCTAAGTTTCGAATTTTGGGCTGAGTCGAAGTAACTTCAGACTTGAAATCTCCAAGAGCGTTTAACTCAACCAAGTACTCTGAAAACTTTCCTTTTTGGGACGCTAATCACGTGTTAGACCTTCATCGGAGGATGTTTATGTGAGAATGACCAAGCAACCATTGTACTTGCTCTAACAACGATTGCTCCGACACCAGGTTGCTCCGAATGCACATAAGTGCTCCGAATGGTCAATCTAATACGAAAAAAAAGCTGGAAAAGCGTGATTTGGGTCCACAAAACGAACTCAATTACGTCGCGAGACACAAAAAATTCATCATGAACCCTTAATGGGCCTAATACGAATTCATGTATTAACAATACCTATTTGGGTATCCACTTTCAAAACTTGGTATGAGTCTATTCTCTTTAAGCGCGTCATTTAAATTTACTAATATAGTCGATTGTCTGTCAAGATTGTGATGTTTCTACAATTTGAGGCCATATAACTAGTATTGGTGTTTGTTTTTTCTTGATTTGCCAATTCAGTATGTAGTTCTCATTTTCGAAAGAAAACTTTTACTTTTGGGGAAGTTATATTATTTTAAGTTATTTCATATTATAATATTATCTTTTGTAATTTCATATTTATTTTCTAAGCAATGTCAATAAACATTGACATCTCAAGTAAACTATAAAACTCAATGATCCTTCTACGGTAAGACCTGTTATTATTATTATTGTTTAACAAAATTTAATTAAAATCACATAAAAATTAAAAAAATATGAAAAACAAATATTATTTATGAAACAATACAAATGTAACGGTAAACCTACTGTAACAATCTCAAACAATCAAATAGCAATTTATCTTATGATTTATTGTTAATTCCTCTTTTGTTTTATTCAACGACTACAAAGTCCTCCTTGGCTTGTGGTAAGTTTAAAACTGCTCAAATCACAATTATTTATACACACATAAAATCATATTTTCCATTTCCTCAAGAAAAAGTTTCATGACGATAATTCCACAAAGAAAAATTCTACACGAGGTTTAACCAAATTGACAAATATTTGTAAAAGTCTTAAAGTCTGGATCGTTTTACTAATTTTAATTTAAAATTTGAGTTAAAATATAATTTTATATAAAAATTTTTAATTATAATAAAAAAATTAAATATAATTATTTATAAAAAAATTTTACTATAATAAAATTCGAATTATAAATTTAAATAAAAGAAACGATAGCCTGATTTTGTCTTGCGATAGAGGACGGTCAAATCAAATTAAGATTTGACCCTCTCCATTAAACAAAGAAAATGCTTTAACCTTGTCAATCACATCATGCCAGCTCAAAACACAGATCATCTAATGATCTAGAATATCTAAACAATTTATTAAAAAACATAAATAAACAACAATTGGACTTTGATAATCTCTTGATTAATGGTACTTCCATCCATTTTTATCCTCTAAAACACCAAAAACTCACGTTTGAGAGCGACCTATGGCTAAAAAGATAAAATAAACTAAAAGAGGCGAGAAAATACCCGGAAATGCTGCTTTGTTCACATTTTAATTGTTAGCCTCATTCACATTCTAAGATTTATGATTAAAATATGTTGTGGTCACCCCGGACTCAGGAGACTCGCATATTATTCCATGGTCATAACTTCACTATTAGAACTTTCAAAACTATTGACTTCCATGTTAAATTTATTGGCATAGTAACTAACATAGAGAGAAACTTATTTCACATATTTTTTTTTGGAGTTTCTCCGGTAGACAAAAAAAAAAAAAACTTTTGATAGTTTTTTTTAGTCATTAAACTCATATCAGATTCTATCTGTTCTACATACTTTTTTAATTTAATATGATTTTAATTAAATCTAACGGTACGTTAATCCCACTGATAGATCATCCTTGGGGAGAAAGTCCTTAATTTTTATAATAAAAACATAGAAATAATACTAAAATAAGTTTAAAGCAGTGATTACCTTTTCATAAGGATATTGAATAGTTATGGGCAAACGATTTACGTAGGACAAGGTAATCATTAAACTTTGACCTATGTACCTTGCAGCTCAGACTATTTGTTGACCATAATTCATAAACCCGGTTATCATAGGGAACATATCGTGAATATATATGAATAATTTTATGTTTGTTTATTTTTCTTTTTTCATCCAAGTTGAGAATGTAGGATATCATGTTCTTTTACAGTGAAAAGAGTTGGGAAGAAGTTGTTAAAATAGATTACCGAGAGAAATAGGTAAAAGAAATTTCCATCCAAGATTATTCTCATTCATGGTTTCAAACTTTAGGATTATTTTCACTTTTTTCTTGAATTTTAAAAACTTATATTACTCTTTAAATTATGAATTAATCTTATTTATATCTTTTTATTAGAATTGTCGTTGAAAACAAATAAAAAAAAGTCAAATATTATCACGTGGTCTTATTGATAGGATTTTTATCAAAAATAATCAAAAAAATATCACGTGACTATAATTAAATTTTTTTTTATTTTTTTTTATTTTTAGCATAAATTGTGATAGATTAAAATTCATGAAGTAAATAAAGGTTGTTTGATTTTAAGGCTTGAACTTAAAAGGTGACAATTCGTGTTAGTAGGTCATGTTCGTGTCAACATGTTTATTAATCATGTTAAAAAATATCAACCTAAACACGACACTGTTTATTAAAAGTGTTAAAAATATCACCTAAACACGACATATTTATTAATCGTGTCAATTCGTATAACTCATTTAAATTAATATATTGAATAAATAACTAATATAATAATGACATATTTAACATAGTCAAGATAGATTTAATATGTTTATTGATAAATTTATATTTTTCTTTAAGAAAAATAAATAAATTTTACCTACAAATATTAAAATTCACATTATTTATATTTAATATGTAATATAAATTTTCATGTTATATCACATATCATTAGATTACAGATAACACATATAGTTAATCGTGTCAATTCGTGTTAAGAGATCAACCCTAACCCAAATCATTTATTAATTGTGTCAACCCGATTATGATCCAAATTCATTTACAATAAACTCAAACCCACTAATTTTATAGTGATTTTGAGTGGTGTCACTGCCTAATTTGCCAACCCTACTTAAACCCTAGTTCTTGATCGTTAAGTTGGGAGCAGAGTTGAGAACTTGGGCACGTTCTTTTGTCTAAAAAACTCAAAAAAAGATAACTCGAGTTTCAATTTTATTCAAGTTCACGTTCTTTTAAGTTTTAATTTTATTCAAATTTACTCAACTTTATTCAAGTTACAACTTTAACTTAAGTTATAACTCAAATTCAACTCAAAAACTACACTCAAGTTATACTCACAACCCCTCATCTAAGTTTCAATAACAAAACTCGTACCGTACGATGGTAGGAAAAGAGATAAAGCACGGTGGTGCCTTCCGCAGGGGATTGGAGCTCACTGGGCCTTAAATTCGCAAATGTTGACGTGTCGAAGACCCACGAGCCCCGTCGACAAATCGAAAGGAAGACCAGACAAAACAGTCAACCTTTTGCATTAAACGTCGTCCCCAATACAGTACAAGAAGAAAGAAAAGAAAAAAACCCACACACAAACTCAAAAACTCTTTCAAACAAACCACTTATTATTATGACTTACTAACCCACCACCACCAAAAACGACGATGAGCTTTTGACCACTACGATGATGACTCTTTCTCCTTCTCCTTCTCCTTCTCCGTCGCCGTCACCGTTCACTGGCTTCGATTGGTGGCGGGCCGGCTCACCGAACCCAAGCCCAAGCCCAGTTCCAGCCCAACCGAGTTCTCAAGCCGTAATCACCGGCCCAACCTCCGCCAGTACTCTCGACCAATCATCATCGTCCTCGTCGTCGCCACCTCCTTCGAAACTTCCGGTGGACTTCAGCCCGCCTCTGATCGCGATGGTGGTGGTGGTCGCCACCGCCTTCCTCATCGTCACCTACTCCCGCCTAATCTCCCGCCACGTCATCCCTCCCTTTCTCCGAATTCTCCGGCGATGGAGGCAGCGCCGCCGACGGAGCCGCTCCTACCTTCCGTCCTCCTCCGGCGACCTCGACTCCCTCCCTTACTACGACTCGCCGTTCGACGCCAGCGACGGCTTCCACGTGCTCTCCCCCTACGGCCTTGACGACTCCGTCATCAAGACCATCCCTCTCTCCATCTACACCACCGCCAAAGGCGGCGACGGCTCCGCCTTCCGCCTCGCAAGCCGCGACTGTGCCGTCTGCCTCATCGAGTTCCAGGACGACGATTACGTCCGTACGCTCCCCGTCTGCTCCCATGCCTTCCACGTCGACTGCATCGACATGTGGCTCCGCTCCCACGCCAACTGTCCGCTCTGCCGCGCCGGGATCTTCCGCCCTGAGTCTCCGTTTATTCCGCTTATGGCGGCGAGGATCCGCCCCAGCCTCGACGACGCCGTTTTGAGGAGCATGGCTCTGGAGCCTCTCGCCGAGGCGATCGCTCCTACAGCGGCGGCGGCGGCGTCGTCGGCGGAATCCGCATCCACAGTTGCGGAGATCACTCCCTGCGTGGAGACCGAGATCAGTAATTATCGGAATTCGGAGGATCGGATCGCCGGCCGAGATTTCCTTCTGAAGAGGTCGTACTCATTCGGATTCGAGCGGAGCGCGGCCTCGGAGAGGATGATGGTGATGGAGCCGGCGACGGCGTCGCCATGGCGGTACAGGAGAGGAAGCTTCTGGAGCAAGAGACCATCGCCGTTCGGTTCCCTGAGCAAACCTAGGGTTTTCTCGTTCCGATACTACAGAGGGATGAAGTCGCCGTTCTTCCGCCGGAGCCGGGGTTTCTTCCCGCTATCGGAGTCGAGCGCGAGATTCTCCGGTGGCGGAGGATCGTCTCGCCGAACAAAGTCGATGACGAGCCCGATGTTCATGAGGCCATCATCAGTTTCGGCGGCGGCAGCTTTCTCATCGAGCAGGCTCCGGTGCGGCGATCCCGAGGCGCTTCTCTCACCGGAAAGGTTTAACCGAAGATAAAAACGACGTTACAAAAACAGAGCAAAAATCAGTTTTTTTTAATTCTCGCGACACGTGGCGTGGAAGGACAGGATTGGTTAATCGTGCCGAAATGGACGGTCGGAGATATGGCGGTGAGGGTGAGGGCAGAGAAAGCGTGGGTTGGGACTTGGGAGTAGTAATGGGGTCGGAAGGCTTTTAATGGAGAGGGAAGAGTTTTAATGAGACGGGCTGGCAATTTGTAGCGGACATTAATTGGGTTTTGGAGTGTTTGGAGAAAGGCATTTAATGCATGAAAGTCCATACTCCATACAGAGAGCGAAAGTTGCAAAGAACAAGTTTTTTAAAGCTTAAAAAAGAGAGATATATATATTGCACACAAACCAAAACCCACTTTTCTGAGAAGATTAGGAAAAGAAATAAATAAATAAAAAAAAAAAACAAACTTTGAACTTCTTGGAGAGTGAGAAGAAAAGAAGAGAAGCAGAAGTCTCTGAAATCACAGAAGAGAGCCTGCCTCATAAATGCGACATGGTTGGATGTTGTTGTCGTTTTGCGTTTTGCATTTTGCATCCTCAAATGTTAAATGGGGTCTTGTTCTTTTTTTGGCGGGGTTTTAGCTTCTGGGGTTTCTCTATTATGACCATTTTCTTTCTTCACCGACAAAAAAACAAGGAAAAAAAAAAAAACATTTAGAAGAGGAAATGGAATTGGAGTTGGTAATTGGTGTGTAATTTGTGTTGTTATGGCATGGTGAGTCCAACATGTGGGGTGGGCAAAAGTGGAGGTACAAAGGGCTTTTAGCAAAGCACGGGGGTTATTTTAAGTCAGACGTCTGCCAAATTCCATTTTCCCCGCAGAAAGGTCCTAATGTTTTATAGATCAGATCAAGTATATTTTGTATTTACTCGATTCTTTTTTGGAACACAAAGTTCGAGTTTTGTGGGTGATTTGATTAAATATCCTTTGCCTTCCTTTTGGCCATATTATGTCTATGGCCTTTACTGTGGTTTTTTTTTTTTTTTTTTCCTGTTCTCATTGGGCTAAGCGGGTCATGTGGTTATTTTGATTTTTTATCATGTTATTATTCGGAGTACAAACTAGCTAGAAAACAACAAATTTGTTGGTCATTGGATTTGAGAGTTGGTAACGTTGATTACTGTTTATATCCTAAATTGTATTATCGTTATGCTAATATAAACTGACGCAAGCAGTCTCGTCTATTTATAGTGCGCTTCGTTATTCTCATGATCTGTTTTTTTATAGAAAAATCCAACTTTATAAAAAAAGGATTTAGTGTTTTTTTTTTTTTTTTAGGTGAATTAGAAGGCTGTGAATGACACTACAAGTACAAATGAAAAACTGGGCCTTAAGAATGGCGTAACCCCCTGGATGATAATTACACTAGATGGCAAACTTTCATGTCTTAATTTAAAATAAGAAGTTTGGTTCATGAATTAGAACCATGAGATTAGAACTATTTTTAATTTACGTGTATTTTTTATGAGAGAAAATACTGTAGTAAATTACGAACCATTATTCGAATCAGGGGACGAATCCCCTAACCAAACAACCCTAATTATCACGATGAGATCATATTTTATTTTATATAATGATATAGTCATTATTTTAATGACATAAAAAAGATATAAATTTTACTATTCTTATAATATTTCAAAATTTTTGTTGAATTTAAATTTTGATTTCAAAATGTTGTTACATGTGTAAATCACCCCGTAATCTGGCATGGCCTACCAGTGGATGAAGTCTAAACACTGTCGCTCCAAAACCACTAGCCCATATAACGAAAAGAAAAACTGTCCTCCAAGAAGAAGCTAAAAATGAAGAAAAATTTTATGCGTAGTATGAGTTTCTTTGAAGAAAAATAACTGCCGTGACGTTCATTTTTGTGCAGTGAAAATTATCCTTGATAAAATGACCGCGTTTGATTTAGAATTTATAATAGAAATAGTGACGCTTTAATACTCGATTAGGAAACTAAGGAAAAGTAAGAAAAACAACGGTCTTAATAAAATTGTGTCATTTTGATTGTTTATGATTTTCCTCCTCCTCCGTCAGAACGCTTTCCCTGGAAGGAACTGCTATTTCCCCAACTCGAGTTTTGGACAAAGAAAGAGATCAAGAATCAAGCGAGTAGCAAATTGTTCGAAACAAACCATAGATTTTCATTTTCACCTTCCAACAATTTGCTGAACCAAAAGCCTGATTGTTGGTGTAACCAGAATTTGTGTGTACCAGTAAATATGTACGAGTTCCATGGGCAAAGAATAAAAAGAAGAATAGCCAAAAGATGAAAGAGCATAGAAGGAATCAGGGATGGGTTAGCTTAGTGCTAGTTGATCAATCTGAATTTTGAATAATAGTTCCCTTTCCCTATGATTTAGGTAAGGAACCTTTAAAAAAAAAAAAAAAAAAATTAGTGGACGTTTAATTCATGAATTTAGAATTATGATTCAGAATTATTCTCGATTTACGTGTATTTTTTGTGAGAGAAAATACTGTAGCGAGCCATAAACTATGATCCGAACCATGACACGAATCCACCAACTAAATGTCACCTTAGTATTCGTCGCTTATATATGCTTTAGCGACAAAACTATTTTGGTTTTTATGTCTACTTGTCAGAATACGCGTAAAATTATAAAAATGGTTGGAGAAAAAAAACAAAAAAAAAAAGAAGAAAGAAAAAAGATAAAGACAAAAATAAAAAAAGAAACAAAGGTGAAAGACAACAAAAAAAAAAAAGAAAAAAAAACCGTATGAAACGTCGAGTTACAAATTTTAATTAGGCTAAATAGGTCAGCCTGAAATCTGTTATTGTTAGTCTAAATATCATATTTTTAAAGAGTTTTTAAAAAATATTTTATAAAATTCTGAATTAGATCGGGCCGGTCTTAATTTTTTTGAATTTAAAGCTAAACTAGCTCAACCTTTTTTCTTTTATGATCGGTCTAAAATTTTCCTTTAAACCGACCGGACCTGACCGCCTAAACTTAAGCCTCTATGACATCTACAGCACAAACACACTCTACTTTAGATATATAGTATAGATCCACGCGACGCGGCATATCTTTTGTTTAGAGGTGAACATTTCCTAACGTGTGTGTTTTCCTCGTCTATACAATAGACCAACCATGAAATTAGTTGTTGTTGTTGTTGTCAGTTGTCATAGCGTCTCAATTCTCAGCTAATCTTCTATCAAGCTTTGAAAACAACTTTTAGTCTGCCACCCTAATAATATTAGAGATAAGGACAGTGTTGTTGCCAATGTCTGTTCAGCAAAAGTTGGCCAATTAAATAGGTGCAACCATAGCAAATGAAGATTTTGTGATACAAAGCATGCCAATATTAGTTTTCGTTGTTAAACGTAAGGTTCATTTAGTTCGTTAATTCGAGTTAAGATGTGATTTTATGTAATAGTTTTTTATTATAACAAAAAAATTAAATGTGACTGTTTTTTAGAGTTTTTTACGGTAACAAAACTCGAATTTTAAATTCAAATCAGTAAAATGAACGGAAAATCACACAAACATTATGCATATATGTATATTTTCTATGAGAACAATCCACCATCTCTTTAAGTGTCATGACACATAAATATGTAACTTTAACCTTTAGGCACGAAAAGGGAAAAAAATAAAAAATAAAAAGAATAAGCAACTATAAAAATCAAGAGTAATCCTTTGGGTAGAACTAAATGAAGGGGGAATAAATTCTTTTAAAGAGAAAAAATAACGGAAATCAATTTGATCGAACCCATCTTCAGACCTTTTTATTCTCACAGTGTCGTTGTTGTTATAAAAAAAAGATTGACGAACCACCAAACCTTCCAAGCGTGGAGGACTTACACTTTTGGCGGCAATCGTTGACCATAAAACATGCCATGTCAGGAGCTTTGCGACATTGAGGGCACCAAAACCTAAGAGTTATACACGGTTGACACCCCAACGCACTCAAATTTAAGCTTAGTTTAATAGTGCTGTAAATTTTTAAAAAATTAATTTTAATCGTGTTAAAAGAAAAAGTAATTGTTATAAAAAATAATTGAGTGTTTAATAAATTATAATTATAGTAGTTGTGTTGATTTTAAAATCAGCGTAATAATATTTGATAAATTATAAAGTTAAATTACTGTAGATAGTTAAAAATTACGATTATATTATAATATAATATAATATATAATTATTAATTACAATATAATATATATTTATTATTATATTTAATATAATAAAAA